TAGTTTCAGAAAAACCGAAGGAAAAGTTTATATTAATAAACTTGTTGAGAAACACAATCATAACCTCATACCCCATCGTGAGGAATTTGCACCATCATTATGACAATTACCGCAAGATGTTTTAAATGAAATTAAATTCATGACACAAAAATGTGAATATGGTACCCGACAACAAAGATGTTATTTAACTAACAAGTTTTCTGATATTAATATTTATTCAAAGGATCTTTATAATGCAATAAGGCGCTACAAGACCCTGCTTCTAATATTAACCAAGATGTCTCTTTAATGATTGAGTATTTAATTTCGAAACAGCGTGAAGATCCTAATTGAAAGATTAATATATATTTTGAAGGCGTTGATACTTCTTTGGCTCGCCTCTTTTGGCAAACTCCAAGTCAGTCTAGACTTTATGAGCAGTTTCATGATGTAATTGTAAACGATAATACTTATAAAACCAACATTTATCAAATGTTACTAAACATTTTTGTGGGAGTGGATTCGCATAACAGAACAAGAATACTTGCACAAGTGCTTGTTCAAGATGAAACGCAAACAACCTTTGAATAGATTTTATAATCATTGAAACATTTGAACAATAACATTGTCCCGCAAACTATTTTTACTGATGGTGATCCCGGAATGGCAGCTGCTATTCATAATATATTTCCTCGTACCAAACATCGGCATTGTTTATTCCATATAAGTCAGAATTTTGCCAAACATCTTGCATAAAAACTTGGCCAAGATCGATACAAAATATTTCTTAATCAATTTTATTGGATACATAATAGTAAATGTGAAGAACTCTTCGAAAGTAGATGGCAACAGTTAGTACATAATTTTTTTGAATATGAAAAGTACTTGCGCCATTTATACAGATCACGATATGCGTGGGCTTTAGTTTATACATATTCAACCTTTTGTGTGGGTATGAACAGTACACAACGTGTTAAGAGCATTAATGGTGTATTAAAAGCTGAAATTGATGCATAAACAACGCTTATAAAATTAGTAGAAAGCATCGAAAAGTGGATTGAAAATGAAGCAAAACGCCAATATGAATCTGAATATCGAAATCAGCTCCCATCTGTTGGTTTACCCACAATTCACAGTACATTTTTTTTAAAAATTGATGAAGCTTTGAAGAAGTATCTAACCTTTGAAGCACTCATCTGTCAAAAACTTCAAATAAGTCAATCTTGTCTTTACTGCCCATATCAAATTAATTTTTTAACTCTTAGCCAAGTAAGTATTAGAGTTCGAAACTGGGTTTATTTTTGTATTCTACTTAAACTTGCTAATTTTTTTTATACATAGAATGATTATTCAGAATATACATCTGGATTTATCGAAGATGATTATCAAGAGAGTCGCGTTTTACTTCCATCAATGCTAAAATTAATTAGCAATCAAACCATCCTTGAGATTTGGCATATTAGATTATTTAGTGCTCCAGCATCTCATAATGGACAATATATTATAGTTTTAGATAATGGTACTCATTTATGTTCTTGTATGCTACTTATTGCTAAAGGCTTTTTTTGCTAGCATTTTTTTTCTGTTTTGGTTGTTTCCCCGCTTATTAAATTCAAAGTGCAGATGATACCTCAACGATGGTTCTTGAATCCTATATGTGCACTTGAATAATCAATTACTATTCAATTCACACATAATATAACAAGTGTGCAAGAGATACAAAATGATAAGTCGAATAGTAGCTTTGATATCATTGAAGAACTTCGAGAACCAGATTGTTTTAATTACGAAATTCAACAATATATTTCTAAAAAAGCTGAATACTGCCAAGGTATTGGAATCGCCAAAAAAGAAGTTCAAACTGCCCTTGACACTGGTACAATAGATAAATTTATTGGTATATTGTATAACTTTATTGAATCAAAGTCAATTCAAGCTAATAATTTATTGGGATTGGACAATATTGGACTAGTAACGAATCCTCACATTATTTCACATCGTAATCGACTGAAGAAACAATTACAAGACTCTTTAAATAATGTTAATTAATCAAATTCTCAGACAACTTACAAAAAAATACTTTACGAATCAGATATCACAAATAAATTTTCACGAAAATGTTTTTACTGTAATAGTATTAGACATTACGCTAAAACGTGCAAATTAAATTCTAAAAATAAGACTTAGGTGGATATTAGTATCAAAGCTAGCTATCAAGATTTAGAGCATTAGGTTATTGATTTTATATAATAGCGAAGTTTTCAATTAATATTTCAGTTAGTAGTTCAAGCGATTGCATCAAAATGGTTATAAGATTATTGTATAATAATGTATTTATTGTAGCTCAAGCTTCCAAAAACATTTTCTGAAAGGAGCATAATCACCAATAAAGTTAGCCAGCATTAATTATAATGCTAGCTAACTTTGTTGGCGATTATGTCCTTTCAGAAAAATTGCTTTTGAAGATTATGTCAGAGCCTCGCACTTAGGATTAGAGTATTTAACTCATATAGAGCTTCTACCTCATATTTTAGTAAAAGAAAGCGAAGCGAAAGTGACAGCCGTAGCATAGTGAACATGGGATTTTCACTAAATTTTTCTAGTTTTATGTATATAGTAGGTAAGATGAATTTTGTATTAATTTGAAATTAAGATTTGTTAAAATACTGATTCGATTTTATATACAATTATGTTTTCAAATTATACATATCGGAGCCTCATACTTAGGGTTAAGGTATTTGATTAATATGAAGCATCCATCTCATGTTTTAATAAAAGGGAAGCGAAGCAGAGGCGACAGCCGTGGTGTAGCGGATAGGGGATTTTCACTGAATTTTTCTAGTCTTATGTATGTAGTAAATAAGATTGATTTTATATTGATTTGAATATGATTTGTTAAGATACTGATTCGATTTTTGTATAATTACGTTCTATTCAAATCATACCTGAAAGAATCGAAGGCTTAAAATAACAATCTATACATTGACAGTGTTTTACCAACTACATAGGATAATCTACTACTTATTGAATAGATTTAAGTGAACTTAAGATGACTTATTCGCGAAAGGCAAAAATAAGAAATCTCAATATAAGTTTAGTTACATTCTTACTCAATATACACATAGATTACATATAGTATTTTTTTAGTATCATCAAATTTGTAGCAAACTCACCTGATAAACATTTTAATTAAAGTGCAAAGAGTTATTTAATACATTAGTTGTATTAGTGATTTTATGTAAACTTAAAGTTGGTTAGATTAGACCACTAATATTAGTTTATAGCTATAGGGCTAGCAATACTCGTCAAAAAAAAATTTCGCATATCACATGATCTTATATGTACGTACAGTCAGACCTCCCTAAATGCACCCCCTCAGGACTATAGGAAAAAAAATGAAAAGAGTGCACTTAAAGAGGGTGTGCATTTATAGAGAGCAAATTATATAGGGTTCTTATAA